TTAGCTCTTTCTAAGGGGCCCAACTGAGCAGGTGTCTTCCTTTCTCACCTGAATCATCCAGTGATTGAGATTAGCTCTTTGTAAGGGGTCCAACTGAGTAGGTGTCTTCCTTTCTCACCTGAAGACAAACNAGTACTTCAGTTTCCCCTGCCAATCTTCATTCCACCAGTTGCTCCACAATCACCCTCACCTATCTTCTGGGGCTGGTACAATAGTCCAGAAGTGGCCGCAGTACAAGGGACTTAGTCCTATCCTACTAGCAATAAAGAAAATCCTTCAGAAAAGTAAGGATTAGAGTCAGACTTTGAATTTATTCATATTTCAGTGATATTTTATAGGATTGCACTTAATACAAATATAAATATAAGATACATAGTTTGATGGAAGAGTTATTTACAACTATCCCNAATTGTGTTAAAGTGTCAAGTAAATCTGATTACCAACTCAAACCCCATCTATAGTCACACACCATCAAGTGACAATATGAATACAATGCTTAATACAAGATAAAAATATATAGTTGTTACAGCTATGTCCAGATATCTTGTAACTATGTTATGTTATATAGAGAAAATATTATGTCAAAGAAGTATTTTCTTCATATATTTAAAACATAAAATTACTGGGGTTTTGGACGTTTTCCATCGTCCAGAATTTTAGGTAATAGAGGACACGACGTTTCAGAAACTGGATCTGCTAATCTCATTCACTGGACGATTGAGATTAGTTCTTTCTAAGGGGCCCAACTGAGCAGGTGTCTTCCTTTCTCACCTGAATCATCCAGTGATTGAGATTAGCTCTTTGTAAGGGGTCCAACTGAGTAGGTGTCTTCCTTTCTCACCTGAAGACAAACAGATCCAGTTTCCAAAATGTCGTGTCCTCTATTACCTAAAATTCCACACGATGGAAAAAGTCCAAAACCCCAGTAATTTTGTGTGTCATCCACCATCGTCAGAACCCTTTAGAATATATTTAAAACAGTTAAGAAGTTTCAGCTGAAGTAAATCCTTCAGAAGGCCGCGCCATAGCTCAAGCAGTTAGTCGCTGGCTTCCCATCGCGGCGGCCCTGGTTCGATCCAGGGTCTGATCAAGTGGGATTTGTGGTAGACAAAGTGGT